ATACGCATGCTGGCTGTAACAAAGAGTTCTCTTGCCACAACTAAGGAGCCCGCGTGCCACAACCAAATAAATAAATATTTTTTAGAAAAAGGAAGATGTTGACTTTTTGGCTCAATAATTATACAGAATAGATTCATCAGTGGTTGTAAAGACTAGAGCAGTCTGGGACTTGTGCTGCCTTCTGCGGAAGAGGCTTTTCCCTCTCCTGCAGGTGAAACCACTGAGTAGGAGGCACTGAAGTCTCCACTAAGAATGATTCTAACCTTGGCTGTACACTATAATCATCTGGAGTGCTTTTAATAAGCCTGATGCCTAGGCCACATTTCATATACCTTAAACCAAGTTTGAGAACCACTGCTCTAACACTTTTCCTAGCATCAGTGTTTGAGATCAGGGGACTACAGGGAGTGTCTCATAAGACAGGGAGATGAACGCGTGGAGGTGTGGGGGGCACTGAGGTGACAGTCTCAAAGTTAAGAACCTGACAGTCACTATTACTAGGAAAAGAAGCTTAGAAATCGTTTCCTTCACTAACCCAACTTCTCATCTGTGTCCACATAAGGGAACCACAGACCTTCAGAGCCTTACAAAACCTTCAAGATCATCTATCTCATCTTACTTCATCATACACTTGGGGAATCTGAGGCCCAACGAAGGAAAGTGACTGGTCAGGGCCACGGCAAGTTTATAATGGCAGGGCCAGGATTAGAACCCATTTCTTCTGTCAGTCCAAGACCTTTACATTGTTATATGCTGAACACAGCGGTGTGGCTTAGTGCTTAGGAACATGGGCTCTGGTACTACGGTGCTTGGGTGAGAACTCTGGCCCCACTGGTTGACTATGTCACACTGAGCAAATCATTCAATTCCCTTGGAGCCTCAATTTTCTCACCTGGAAAGTGGAGATAATAATGGCATTTACCTCAGAGTTGTGAAGACTACAGGAGAGGAAAGGGACAAGTAATGTGCCTGGCACATAGTAATAAGCACACAGTAACGTTAGCTGTTCTTATTCTTATTAAGGTAGGTCAGGGTAGCACCCTGAAGAGAGGAAAAGAAGGAACAGGTATGGTTATTTGGGCTATGGTTCATGTTCAAAATGTTCAAGCAGCTTCAAGATATTACTGTTATGCTTTCAGAGACTTTTCAAGTCAGGGCAATTCTGAGACAGAACCAGCTTTGACAGCAGCTCGAATTTAAACTATGTCACAACCTCTAAGCATCTTCACCTGTCAAACTAGCTGCCCGTCAAACGAATAAATGAGCACAAAAACACTCTGCATGCTGAAAGTGCTGTACAAACGTGAGAGGTGTATTATTACTCCTAATAATGATATCTGTCACCATCACTATACAGTCTGCCTCGGCCAGTCTGAACTTTGATATATCAGTTGTAAGGCCATGCAACAGAGTAGGAAACAGGAATGCAGGGCAAGGTCACTTCTAGAAATCCTAACATTTAGTCATAATATTCAAATAGCAAGAAAGCTAATAAGTAGGGAGAAGAAAAACAAGATCAATCTTGGCTCTCATAGCCACCAAAAGACTGAAATTCAATTGAAATGCCCAATGAGCAGGGAGACATAATGATGGCCCTAATAAAACACCAGACCCAAACCTTCCTGGGGCTGGGATGTACCTTTCACAAGCGGCAATGGCATGTCTGTCGCAGAGGACTTGCTGACCACCAAAATCCTTTTCTAAAAACAGCAATAAAACTCAAACTCCTTGTTTACTGGAGTAACCAAAATGGTTGAAGGGTGAGGATAGGGTCTGGGAGTCATGAGAGGTATTTTCTCTTTTCAACTTTGTCAATTACATAGAAAACTTTAACTTGTTTTTGTGAGCACATTTCTTAATTCTAGAAAAGGAAGAGGAAGAGGGAGGGACTAAGGGCTAGAAAAGTTGAATAATTACAGGGATAGAAAATTCAACACCTATTCTTTTACAAATGCTGTATGGTAAGGTGTGGAGTCTCCAGAAGACACAACCTCTGAGGAGTCAAAAAGGAAAGAGAAGCCTCCCCAGAGTTATCTAAGCAGATCCCTGGAGAGGCTGGTTATAGGACCGAGGTCCCACAAGGTCTAATCATTGCTGTTTCCTCTCCCCCTGGCCAGCCCTGCTCCATCTTCCTCCCCCAGCATCTGCTCAGGTCACCTGCCAAATACCTAAGAAATGTAATCCTCAACAGTAATAGTATCTTCCTGTTTATACTGTGCCTCATTCTTGTCCTTTAAAAAAAGAGAAAGAAAAAACAAACCAACCTTACTTCAGGTGCAAGGCCTTCCCTACCACATGTATATACGATCACCCTCAAAATTCCTTTCTTGATGGGGATCTACAGGCTAAGGTGGAAAAGCACTGCCACCTCAGGTCTGTTCCCAGATATGTGTCCCTCCCTCTGATTCCTTCAGCCTTCTTTTCTTTTGTACATAACAAGTAACTCAAGATTTAGTCATTTGACATATAATGCCCAGTCTCTGGCTAGTCTAAGTCCTTCACTCCCCACAGTGCTGAGCCCAAACAACACCCCAGGGAAGTTTTCAACTGCAGGGAAAGCCAGATGGGGAAGAAAAGGGCTGAGTGTAGAATAAGTGCTAAAGAAATATGTATGTATGGTCTGAATTATGTTGCCTTGAAATGTCGATTTAGTTAAAACCACAAATGGAGACTCTCAGAGACTCCTTCTGGCAGAGGTCACTTATGTTCCTGAATCCCCTGAATTTCTCTGTTCTTGAGTACAACCACCTCTTGCCTCTCTATTACTCAGCAGAGTTTTTAAATCATTATAGCTATAAAAAGATAACTGTCTCTTACCCCACCCTTGAGGAACTGAGGAAACAAGAGTTTACATGAAAATGCTGTGGGAACAACACATATACCGCTGTAAATTCAAGGCAGTTTTCTACCCCAACCATAATCGGGAGCTAGCTTAGAATGTGATCCTGGGCCTATGGCAAACCCTCCTAAACTTACACAAGAAAAGCCAAGTGTTCAGTCTTTACCAGACCAAACTATCTCTAACCTAAAAGACATTAAGTTTTCAGCTGTTCTCTAGCCAGGTGTCAGGGGAGAGAAGGAAGAAAGACTAGAATTCCATATGAATTTTCTTGACAGACTAACGTATCTGCCCAAGCTAGTCAAAGAATATGTTTTAGGATTATATAAAACAGAATTCTCTTAAGGTCTACTTCTTTAAAATGAGGATATTAATACCACCTGCCCAATCCACCTCACAGGGTTATTGTACAGTACAAACGCAACAGAGCACAGTACATGCCTTCACTATGGTGAGATACTGTGCCTGTTGTATCTTCCTCGGAAGACACTCCTGACTGCAGCCTGCAGACCACTTCTTATCTGCTAAAGAGAATGTGAGGAAAGATGCCTTTGGGGCCATCGGAACCTCACCTTCTTGAGCAGACAAACCAATGGAAAAATAACTCTCTTTCTACTCCTGAAAGTGCTGCTTAGAAATCATTAACGCTTGATCAATATGATTAGAGTTAGTCAAGACTTCGAATTATATGTAATTATCCTTTAGGCTTGGAGACCTCGATTAACTAGACACTAGACACTCTCCCTCCCTCACCCATCCCATTCCCTCTGCACTTGAACTTTGTGCCAAAAGCTTAGCCTGGAATGTTGCAGGGCCTCAGATATCATATGAAGGAGTGAAACGTCTCCCCACGTAGCTCAGCTCATCCAGGGCCCTTGGCTGGCTTAAGAGAAAACGCTTTATCACACTTTCATCCTCATGTTGAATAAATATGGTACTCTTCAAAAACAGTGATAAACCCAGATCTCTACAAGAAAAGCCACGGAGTTAATCAAATCCTAGGTTCTCTGGCCTGTGTGGACTGTAACCATGCCACTGTGACTCCACCTCTTCAGGCATTTAGAATCGAATCTGGCCACTAGAGGAGGCACTGGCTGTCCTTATGTCAACAAGGACACAAGTTAGGGCAAGTGTCACCAAGACACTACTTTCCTTTAGTAACAACATAAAATAGAAACTTTGACTGTGTCTAAGATTTTCTTGAGTCTGAATTTTTAGTCTTCCAAATATTTTAAGGAAAATCTGAATACCTGCTATATATGCCATTCCCATTTCCTAAATTTATCCTTCCAGCTTCTAGGGATCACCCTATAGATTTAGAGAACAAGTTTGTCCTTCCTAAGTAAAATGAAAAGGACTAAAAAAGATCCTCATCTCTTCAGTCTGACCTCAAACAGTAGCCCTGCCTCCCCATGGTCATTTTATAAAATGGAAAAACATAGGGATGGGAGTCAAGACCTGGGTTCTATGCTAGCTCTGCCACAAATTCACTGTGTGACAGAGAGCTAGTGGTTTCACTTTTCTGGGTCTCAGCTGCTTCTTTGAAATAACACAGGAAAGCTGGGTTAAATGTTAGTTAGCTCTCTTACAGTTCTATTGGCCTTTCTTGCAACCTTCAGCTACAATCTCATCTTTAAGATGCCAGGCACCCAGAGTTTTTATTACAATTCTAATGAATTACCTTACAAAGAGTTTATATTCACCCTGCACACTGTACTTTGCCAAATCCTGGCCCATTGGAGATACCTACATAATAATACTTCAAAGGCTCTATTCTAAGAGCTTTACCTAAGGATGAACCATTATGAAGCTACCAAAATTGAAACATTTTTTGAACTACAAAAACAGAAATTTCATATGGTTCAACCTACTATATTAACTTATTTAATTCCTCTAACCTACCCATGTGCCACGTGTTAGGTTTTACAAATGAGGCAACAGAAGCATAGAGAAGTTAATAACTCGCCACGGTCACACAGTGAATGATGGGATTTGGATTTAAACCCGGGCAGTTGAGCTCCTGACCCTTCAGTCCTATCCATAATATTATATTGCCTCCCATTATGAAAACAAGAAAAGCTCAAAGACTGGAAGCCCAGCCCAAGTCAGTGTCTCAGAAGCAGAGTGACAGGCTCACACCGCAGCCTCTGTTGGGTTGTACCTTTTACTTCAATGGTGGCATTTGCTTTAGGAGCACTGAGAAAGTGATATACACAGTGGTATTCGCCTGAATCCTCAGCTCTCGGTTTATTGATCCTGCAGAGATGAGAAGAAAAATCAAGTAAGGAAGCTGGGAACAGTCAAAATACACAACAAAAGGAGAATCAAAGGGGCAACCAGGGACCCTGCTCTCCAAGTCGTGCCCTGACATGCAACTCACCTCCTCCTAACTGAAAGCAAAAACCTCCCTCTGTGTATTAATAATTTACTTCTTACTGCGTGTCAGGAATACAGGTCCCTAACATTAAGATGCTCCAGTCTATTGGCAGAAATAAACTACAAAGCAAGTAATCAAAAGAGAGGGCTGTACAAACTACTATAATCTACACTTAGATACAGAAGATGGAGCCATCACCAAAAAGTTCTTGCTCACCTGGTGGTTCCAGTCAAATAAATAAGAGCAGAAAAAAAGCAAATCTTTTTCTGCGCTTCCCTGAAGACTTTTAGTAGTAGTGTTCTTCCTACCCTGCATTTTAGTAGCATGCCTTTCAATAAGTCTACTAACAGGACATAGGAATAATGGGGGAAAAAATCTGCCATCAGAGCATCAGCCACAGAGATGCAGCTCAATTCCTAAGACTTCTAGGTGCAGCTAGAACTCAAGGGCCCTGCATGATCTGGCCCCTCCCTAGTGTCATCTCAGCCACTTTCTAGCCCTACAGGTCTCTTTTCAGTTTTTCAATGTGCTGAACTTGTTCCTACCTCAAAACCCTGACACAAGATGCTCCTTTATATAGAATGCTCGTCCCATCACTCTTAGCCTCTTAAGTCCTTTTCCATCGGTCTTGGCTTACATGTCACTTCCACCCCCCAATCTAAGTGACATCCCTCTCCCTGACATTCTCTCTCATACTACACTGTAATTCTTCACGACCCTTATCACAATGTGTAATTATTTATTTATGTGATTGCTTGATGAATGTCTGTTTTTCCCTACAGACCAAGTTCTATGTAGATAGGCACTGTTTATTTGGTACACAATTCTATACCCAGCACATACCCTGGTGCCTGGAATACAGTAGAAAAATGAATAAACACATGAATGAACACAAACTTAGACCAAGTTAAGCAGAGTGAAAGGACTGTAAGAAGTATGTATGAAGAGAACAGTACTTCCTCTGAATCCTATAGGGTGATCCTATACAAGCTTTCTTGGCCCTGAAGGTCAGCTTCATATCAGCTCAGTTCATGCTGGCCTAGACACATCCCCCGAAACGTGCAGAAAGGCTGGTGTGTAATTACAGAAAACAGAGAAACATCAGCTTCCAGATGAGAAAATAAACATTATTTCACTCCTACTCTTTTTTTTTTTTTTTTTTTTTTGTTGCGGTACGCGGGCCTCTCACTTTTGTGGCCTCTCCCGTTGCGGAGCACAGGCTCCAGACGCGCAGGCTCAGTGACCATGGCTCACTGGCCCAGCCGCTCTGCTCCACGTGGGATCTTCCCGGACCGGCACACGAACCCGTGTCCCCTGCATCAGCAGGCGGATTCTCAACCACTGCGCCACCAGGAAAGCCCCCGCTCCTACTCTTTTGCTCAATGGTTAAAATATGATACTTGCAATGGTCAAATCTCCACTGCACTAATGTCTGAGAAAAACGCCTGACCTCAAACACTGGCCAAATGCACTTACTCATCTTACTGTTCATCCCAAAAAAGACTTGAAGAGAGTATGGATGAGGAGAGACATAGCCCACCCACAGGACTGTCTCAGCATACCCACGGCAGCATAAGATTCTAAGAGGAGCCGTCAACAGTCTTCTCAATTTGAACCAAATGCCTATTCTTATATCAATATGCTCCCAATAAGGAAACAGACACCAGTTAGCTGCTCTTAGCAATGTTCCAGAGTCAGGAGGAGGAGGAGGAGCAGCAGCAATATCTTTAGGGCTTAGACTTGACTACAGTAAGTTCCTTGAGAGATGACTCCCAAACTTGAGGCCATGCCTATGGGCTCAAAATCTCCCTACAACATTTCCTTTGACTAGCTATTGGGAAGTAACTAAAGCAAATCAAATATGTCCCCTACAGGCTAAGCAGAAGCAGGGTCTGACACTGGCTCCATGGCCGACTTATTAGGTGGCCCAAGGGACTTATCAGTTGTTACTCTATAAAATGTGAGTTGTTACTCTACAGGTTCCCTGAAAAACTCTGACAATGCAGAACACCCCCCGGAGAGCTTCAAATAGGCTGAGGAAAAATACACTGCCATGTCTAAAATAGATAGCTAGTGGGAACCTGTGGTATAGCACAGGGAGCTCAGCTCAGTGCTCTGTGATGACCTAGATGGGTAGGAACTGGGGAGTGGGAGGAGGAGGTCCAAGATGGGAGGGGATATATGTATACATATAACTGGCTCACTTCATTGTACAGCAGAAACTAACACAATGTAAAGCAATTATACTCCAATTAAAAAAAAAAAGAAGAGTTTTATAAAGTTAGGTTCAAACTTTACATAAAGTTACAGTTCAAAGCTTTGGGGGGTAACACAGTACAAGACCCAAGAGAAACATGATTGGACGTGTGGTACCTTGAAAGAGGTATTATAAAAAAACAAACTTGTAAAACTAATAGACAGACCAAGAATAGATGCCTTTTATTCCACTCAGCATCTCTATTTGATTAACCTTTTCCAAACTATGAGGATATAGCTGAGGCTATATTTCCAATTTTATATCAAAAGAAACTACAGTGGAGAGAGATTAACTACCTTGCCACGAAATGGTATAATACAGCAGAAGAACAAACAAACAAACAATAAAAAACGAAAAAAAACCAATGACCTAGATTCTAGAAAGTCAGAAGACCTGGAACCTAGCCTTGGTTCTGCAACTTATTAGGTACAGTATGTGGCCTTGAAAGCAGTCAAGCATTATTACTTTGAGTCTCAGTTTTCTTATCCGAAAAAAAGGAGGATTCACAAATTAATGTGGGTCAATTAAATAAGGGGTATGAAATGATTTCAATTCTGCAAAATACTGCAGAATGTCCTTGCTACTACTAGGTACACAGGTTTTCCTGGTCTCACTCCAGTGCACTCTTTCTTTGCACTGCATCATCCTGCCAAATAGGATTAGCTGATCCTTTTCAACTAGGAACAAACTATTCTGAAAGGTGAGGTACCAGGTGTTCTAGATATTCCAAAAAAGTACCAAATCTTCAGGTGCTGGGTAACTTCTACCAGCAAATATCCCCCTTTCATCAAAGGGTATTTCCAGGCTACCATCCTTTTCCAGATCAGTAATGAGCTCTGTATCCACTGGTCCTGATCAGGTTATATGGTCATAATAAACACTCCTAAAAGGTAATTCACTAGGAAATCTACTCAGTGGAAATATCACTTAGGGTGATATTGCTCTAAGAGTCCTAGATTAGATTTCAATCTGATTCCTCAAACCACTGGATTTAGTCAAGAGACCTGCATTCTAATTGTGGCTTTTTTATTGACTAGCATTGTTACCCTAAGCAAATCACTCCCGATGCCCTCAGTTGCTCTATCATCATAGTGAAGGGATCTTTTACGGCTCTCAAACCTGGCCACTCATTAGAAATCCTTTCTAGATTCCTGGGCCTCACCCCAGATATACTGGATGAGAGTCTCCAGGGGAGGACCATGTCTCTCCCACATAGCATAATTACAGATTATGAATGTCAAGTAAACTCAACCATGTTCCCTCCCATCTTCCCAGGAGTTGCTAGCCCCTCTCACCTGTATTCCATGTTGCTGGCATTCTTACGAGTGGCAGTCAGTTCTACCCCATTCTTTGTCCAGTAGCTGTATGTAAGGGTGTGAGAGTTGGAGGTGAGGTTACACTGCAGGGTGACAGAGGGCGCAGGGCTTTCTCGAATAATGACTTCTTCACTGGTGACAATCCTTGGCTCTGTAATAAGAGTGCACAATGATAGGGAGCCACAGTTCCATGCTCTGCAGCCCTGGCCTGAGAGTTGGATGGGGTAGGTTGGGGAGACTAGAAGAGGGAGGGCAGACAGGACCACATGAGGAATTTCACTTTGCCACTTTGGAGGAAGTCAAGAAAGGAAAAACAATGATTATAAGCAAATGACCACTAGCGCAGACAACAGCCTGAAGACCAGTTGGCCTAGGCGTGAAAAGAATGGGAGTATTATGGATGCTTGCACTGGCAACAGTACGCTTTTGAATACCACCATTTTATGAGATAAGAACCACCAACCAATTCGGCTTCAATTAGAAAATCAGGCTCCACTTTGCAGCTCTGAAGACAAAGGCAATTATCATTTAGATAACTAATAAACTTCCTGCCTTGAAACAATAATAGTTATAATTAGGCATATATGGCTTTTCCCACATTTAAATCTGATAAATCTATGGCAAAACAGCCTGGCCATTAATTATGCAGAAAAAGACAATGTAGATCCTAAAAGCAAATTTCCTATTGAAAGTCTATTGCATTTTCCAAATTTTGCCGAGAGAAAACTGTTAAGGAACCATAAGTTCTTCTCTCCAGCCCATATTTTACTCCAAAGACAAAATTTTTTCAGAATTGCACTTTAAAACACTTTCCATTCTAAGATAATCATAACTAGAATGTGGTATATGTTGGTATGATGGGCTCCTAGAATTTTAGAGCTGAAAGGCCCTTAAGAGTTCAATGAATCCCACTCTTTAAGAGCTAGAAAGGTACAACGACTTGTGCAAGGCCATAATTATCATTAGTGACAAAGCTGGGCCTAGAAAACACATCTGACCGAATTCTTTATCCCTCCTCCTCCAACCCAAAAACACCCCCATACACCTTCCACCCTAGGGCAAGTTATATACTTCATCTTCTGGTTCTACCTGGGCTTAGATAACCTGGGATCACTCATTTGGTATCTACAAAAATAACCTATTTGAGTCAAATATTATAACACATTGAGCAGAAATTTTTTAAGGCACACTATATCAATACCGTTACTGGAAGGTTCATAAAGCACTTTGAATTCCATCACTATATTAAAGTCTTGAAGTTTGTTTATTGTCTTTTGTCGTTATTTATCTTTAATCATTTCCCATGGTTAGTTCTTTTTCTACTTTTGGTCAAACATTTTCAGGTAAAGTCTAAACTAGCCATCTTTTCCAATCCACAATCAGAGGTATTTGCTCTTTTACTTTTTTTCCAATTCTTTCTCAGAAATCCTTGACTAACTTCCCATTTCCCTGCACCTGGCTACTTCCTGTCTACAACTCTGTAGCAGCTCCCTGACATTTTATAAAGTATAGCGCTGACTCTTAACTCTTGAAGACAAAACTCTCTCCCTTCACTGGAACTAAGCTTTGTTCATTGTGCAGGAAGCAGGAGAGGACGGAGACGTCATGGGACACTTGAAAAATGTAATGCCCAAGCACCTCCTAATCAATGTAACATTGTAGAGCTCATATCGTCAAAGAAACTTGTGATAAATAAAGCAAATCCTCAAGTTTGCTCAAGTAAATTGGTTCTAGTTATTTTCCAACTCTGGCAAAAGGATAGTGGTTATCTTTCATTCAGCACTGGTCCTTATCCGTAACATCAAACAGGGTCTCTATATACAGATAATGGAGGCATAGCAGCCACTAAGACAGAAGCAGATGCATGTAAACATTAGCGCAGTGGTGTCCCACGGTTTCCAAAACACACTGGACAGAAGCCAAATCCCTGGGCCTTAAGTCGAGCAGAACAGCTGCAAACCCTGCAATGGAAGGCGCACACACACCATCGGCAGAAAGCACCACAATTTCAGGAAAATCAAAACCAAGCAAAAACAAAAGCGATAAAAAGAGAGAACCAGTACTCCACAGAAATTAAAAAAATATAAAGGCAACATTAAAACCCAAACACACTTTTAGGTTTTCACTGAATTTTTATTATTCAATTTTATTTTCTGTCCCATTTGGGACTCGCCTTCTGGTTCTTCCTCTCAGACTGCACTGAGAAAGGGTAAACTCTGAGGCCAAGAGCTTCCAGATGCTTAAATTACAAGGAGGCCAAAGCAAATGCTCCTCTTACCTGTGGTGATGCAAATGACCACTGCAGCTCAGTGAGATTAAGAAGGTGATGAAAGCAACCTGGTAGACTTTCTGCCAAGAATTCTCAGAAGGCAAAGGAAAGCACTTTTTCCCTTAAGATCCAGGAGAGAGTCAGCTGGGAGCAAGTCAATAATTTTAATAGGTTTAAATATGATTCTGCACCATAGGAGGGTTGTGGGGTGGGGTAACCTTCCTCCTGTAATTGCTGTATACGGAAACCAGTGCTAGACCAAGCTCCTTGGCCTCGGTGCCACATCTGCATTCTGCACCAGGATGAAGGTGGGGGGGGGGTTATTTCTGATCGAACACTGGTGGTCGAGCATTGCCCATGACAGTCCAAGAGAGATGAACATTTAGGAGAAGCTCAAAAATTCTTACCTGCCACTTACTCCTATTTAGAAGCACTGGTTAGGAGACCCTTACTTACCCTAGCCATCATTCATATGTAGAACATGCTATGGACAGAGAGAGAACCTAAAAACTGGGCACGCTTCTCTTCCTGCCTTACATTACTGCCAGGAGGTCATTTTTTTTTTTTGCGGTACGCGGGCCTCTCACTGTTGTGGCCTCTCCCGTTGCGGAGCACAGGCTCCGGACGCACAGGCTCAGCGGCCACGGCTCACAGGCCTAGCCGCTCCACGGCATGTGGGATCTTCCCGGACCGGGGCACGAACCCGTGTCCCCTGCAGCGGCAGGCAGACTCTCAACCACTGCGCCACCAGGGAAGCCCAGGAGGTCATTCTTAGATAGAAAATTTCAACTTCCCCTTGGAGACAAATGTCCTTGAGGGTGCTGAAATCATAAAAAAGTCCAATTAGAGTGGAGTTCAGGGTGTTGAAAAAAAAAAAAGAAGCCCGGCTCTCTAAAACAGTTAACTAGCGTCAACTGATTGACGGGGAGGTCTGGGGAGAGTCTGAACTAGCCAGGGTTTGTTTCAACCACATGCAGACACCCCAAAGTTAGGAAGCTTATTTCTAAGTAAACTGGGAGACTGCTGTATGCTCTCGAGATTGAGAGGTAGGTACCCCAAAGCCGCATCTTCTTCTAGCCCCAAGGCATGACCTTTTAACTATGAGTCTACCTGAGTCAGGCTCCTGTAAGTACAAGTACCAAATGCCCAGCCCAGTCCATGCCTACAAACTTCTGCAGAGCTTTGTGGCCGTTTGGGTAATTCTGCTTTTACAAGGAAAGGAGCAAGGGGGCAGGAGAAGGAGGCGTGCAAGGGAAAAAATCGTTAAATAAAAGAAAAATCACTGGGTTAATGTTCCCCATTTTCACATAGACAAGGTTTTCTTTTTCCCTTTCCAGAAGCAGGTTCTCTAATTCAACAGTGCCAACTGCAGCAGCCTCTAACTCTACTCTAAGTCCTCTTCATAGGCATCTTCTGAGTTGCTATAAAGAACAGACAAGTAACTTGCTATTTTCCATAGAAATATATAGATTCAAGGCCCATGTCAGATTACCTCCTGTGTTATTACCAATATCCTCATAAATGTAATTTACTATTTTTATTTACTCTCTATAAATCTATCAGTTCTTTAAGCCTGAACTGGCTCTAGGGACTCCTACTGAGTCCTTGACAAGAAGGTGAAAAATCCAGAAGATCTTTCCATTAAATGGAGAATGCTTCCTCAACTATAATAAGGACAGATATGGGCTAAAACTCTTTCTGGCCAGAAGCACTGGCTCTGTGGTGGCTTCTCCCTCCCTCTCCTTCCCACCATACAAGCAGCAAGACACTATCCAGAAAGAGGTGGCCACAAAAGCTCCTGTGTCTGATGTCTTACTTGTACCTGCTACTACAGATGAAGGGAAGGATTCTGAGCCAACTGCTCAGCTCACTGTTACCACACAGAGGAACAGGGTTGGAATTTAGTTTCCTTTTTTAAGACACAAGAAAGGCCAGTGTGAATGGCTTCCAAACTATTTCCGGGGTTGCCAGCCTCTGGAATGATAGTGTGGCAGTGACTGCTGTGCCAACAGTCAGTCATCAGAGTCAAACTATCTGTCAACAGATCCAACTCTGACTTTGAAACAGCATGATGGGGTTTTAAAAAATACTTTGCAGCTTAGAGTCACCTGGCTCCTAACAGCAAGACATAAGGAGGAAATCTCAGGCTGCTGCTTTTAAGAGAATAGGAGACTAGCTGGGCAGGACCAGTGAGGAGTAATACTGCTGCAGTGGAGGGCTGTTATCAGAGAAGCATATGCCACTGTTTTAGAAAAGAAAAAGAGCTAGAACTATGGAAATATCCAAGCTTACATGCCACCCAACAACCAAAACACATCACCACACCACACTCATGGCAACATTCCCATCACAGAACAGGATGACACTAAGTCACAGTGAGGGAAGAGGCTGGGCAGACACAAACTTAAAACCATAGAGGTGAAGGCAGCTACTCAGAGAGCTTCAAACAGATGAACAGAAGAAATAAAAAGTAGTTAGACTGGGGAGAGAAATAAAAATAGAAAGGCACCAAAGAATAAATCAGCAAAAGGATAACGGAAAACCTACTACAAAATTAAAGTAGAGGGAAAGAAACAATTCAACACTATCCTGGTTTGACTGCCTGGTTTTGTGAGTTTTAAGTGTTTTTTTTTTTCTTGTTGTTAGCCTCCCCAGTTCTCCCTCCCCACCTCTTCCCAATGCAGATGATTTTGGACAATCACAGATTTCCCCAAGTTCTTTGTTCCTGAGGAGAAAGACACAGAGAAGGGTTGGGGGATAAGGGAGGTAAAGAGGACAGCAAAGAAGAAAAAAAAAAAGTTGCCACAAATATTTTCATACACTACAACCAGAAGGATCGTGGGTTTGAAAAAACGAAGACAAGGGGTGGGGTGAGTGATCATACTGGGGAAGAGGGAAAGGAAGCAGAAGGGAAGGGTCATCGGGCCACCTCTAGTGACTACAGTACTACTACTGTAGGGTGCTGGACTCACTCTGAAGGACGCTTATGGTGGCCTGGGCTCGAATCCATGTTATGGAAGGGTTTTGCCTCAAGTCATTCCTCTTGGGGTCGTTGCTGGCCCTGCACTCGTAAGTCCCAGAGTCCTCCAAGGTGAGCCGGGTTATTCTCAGCACACTCACGCCGTTTGACCCGTAGGCGGTGTTTACGGTGACACGGCGCTTCCGAGCACCGTCCCACAGCTGTCTGAAAGACTCTGCCCGGTTGACTTCTGCGTACCACCACTGGATCTCTGGCGTGGGGCTCCCGACCACGTCACAGTACAGCTCAAAGGCGTCCCCAGTGAGCTTAGTTTCTGACATGGGCGACTTGACAAACCCAGCTAGAGGGAGGGGGAGCAGGAATGCAGTGACAGGCCAATCAGAAAAAAAAAAAGAATCAACAGGTGTTAATAGTAATTTAAAGGAAAGAAAAGAAAAGAAAAGAAAAAAGCAAATGAGCTGCAAAGAACAAAAAGGATTCATTTTTAAACTATAAAGAGACAGTAAACAGCATTTCATACAAGCTTTTAGAAGAAGAACCACCCTGGGAAGCTTATGAAGCAAAGGCAGGCTAATTACAAGCTGGGGCAGCCCAGGTGCTGGCCAGGCAGAAGCAAGCCCACTGGAAAGCGTTTTAGCAATGGGCCCAGCCAGTAGGAATGAGAAAGCCTCAGGTCTCGGGGAAATCTCTTTCCTTAGAGCACAAACCATTACCTTTCCAAACTCAGGCAAGTGATGAAAGATAACCGGAAGTGGCAACAGGTTATATGCAAGTCAGGATCTCTCTCTTTTGGATGGGTGAACACTTCGTTAGAGATGCAATGTCTTTTATGGGTCACAACAAGAAGTGTTAACTGACCTACTGACACCTTCTTTTGGGAGTCAGAGTCCAAATTTCAACTGAAAGGCTAGCAAATTTCTCTCATGCAGGATCCTATCCTGAATTCAGGTTAGACTTTCCCCACATCCTCTTCTTCCCTGGGCCCATGGCAAACAACCCAATTGTCTGTGAAGCAGCCTCTACCTGAATGCAGACCCTCAGGCACAGGAGAGCAAGACAATCTGTACTTCAGAGTAAGAAATACTATGGGGGTCAGCTCAGGAGTAGAACCAACAGTAACAGTAACTCAACTCATTGCCAGTGTCTGGAGGGACTATGCCCTCCATAATCCCATAAATTTATACAACTAGAAAAATCTTCTGAAAAGTCAGTCTTAAAAATAACCATGGGATAAAAATAAAAACAAAACAAAAAAATAACCATGGCATCTGACAGGCTCTCTTCACATAATTTAGCTGCCTGGCTTCTAGAGGCCAGATCAAAAAGAATGAGAACTGTACAATGATGAATTAAACTAAACTCTATGGTGAAGGCTAGGCTTCAACAACATTGCCAGGCACTGCCCAGGAACTAAAAGTTGATGCCTACTTCCAACGGCCCATAATTTGCTTGAGGTTACACTTCCATAAGACAAGGTGGCAATGGCAAAAAGAGAGTGAAAAAAAAATCCAGACTTACTGGAAGAACTTGGAATGGGGTCCATATCACAGTGCAAGCATACTCTCTCTCACCCATTTACTCCACCACCAAGGGTTCATTCAGCATTTTTACCAATTCAGGCTAAGGTAATTCAGTATCTAAAGTACAGGTGAGAAGCTAAAAGAGGGTACTCTGAGTCACTCTTGGGACCAAGCCAGATCCTCTGCAATGAGCAGAGTGGGGCCAGTATCTACCAACATCAGGTTGAGAATATTTCACAGGAGAGGTATGAATTCAATGGAAGTTTTCCTACAGACCAAAAGCCAAGGATATAATGGGGCTGGCTGAAAATGCAGGTTGCTAAGTGGAAATTTTTCTGTTTATATCCATAGAAGTATTTGCCTTTGGAGATAAACTCTACACCAGGGACCTCAGAACCCTAAGGGAGGCACTACACTTACTCAAGTAGAGGTCAAGAACTCCAAATTCATACTAGTCTTTCAATTCATAAAAGACTCAGAGTCTGGGAAGGACAGGAAGCAGTAATTAACAGCCTTAGATTAACTGTTCTGCCTTCAAATGCTACTCTAAGCTACCTTTTGAGATGCAATGTCAGTTCCTTGAAAGGAACTAGCTATGAGAGGCCCCAAGAAGCCAAAAAGATATCATTCTCAGATGCAGGGGAAGTTTTAGAATTCCAGCAGGGAGACACCAAGCCCCTGCAAGAAAAGCTGAGCTCACTTCCAGATAAAGGGGTACCCAAGAAGCTATGTTTTAGTCTTACAAACTGCCACCTGCCCACCTGTCAAAGTCAATGCCAACTAATATACAGAGAGAAGGAAGCTGGTTTTGTTCATTTTACTACTGGTTCAATCACTAAAGAAAACTGGTTATCAGTAAATCCCTAGAGAGCAGTAAAAAGTATTACTCTGTTTTAATCATATTCTTGATCATTAAGTGGAAATCACAAATGCTTATTCTCACATTCTCTGTGAACTGGGGGAGTTTATGTCCTCTCGAATGCTGTGATTATGTGCTTGATTATGCTCTAGAAATATGCTGCTAGTGGATCTGTTCTGTATTTTTTCTCCCTTCTTCTGAATTGCACTTCAAAACAAGCTTAGATTTAAGCCTGTTCATCCAATCTACTAACCACGCTAACATAAAAGGAATGCCTGCAAGTATGTCCAGAAACACCAAGAACCCATCCGATCCCAATATAATCACAAATCCCAACACACCACAATTCAAAGGTAGCCGAGAAACAGTCTGAACACAATTCCCCACTGCAGAGAACCAAGAAAGTCACTCAAACTGACATTGCAACCCCTGGACAAGACACTCCTAAGGAAGAAGGAACGCTGATCTGATTTAGTTCAGTTTTCTACTTGCATACAGGACAAGAGGACCAAGTTGAAAATGTCCTTTGAATTAGTAAATTATATGATATATATTTACGCAAACTTACCTAAAAACAAAAGTAAAAATCCCTTAAACACTAACAGACATCTGTGCTCTCTTTGACAGCTATTACTAGTATTACTTATCATTAGATATGTATTATCAACAGGTAACATTTTCTAAGTATGTGTTATGTGTTAGACGATGTGCTAAGCACTTTTACATGATCTCATTTAATCCTCACAACATGACATAGGTGCCATTATAATCCCCTTAAAGATGTGGAAACTAAGGCCCAAAAAAGTTGAGTACTTTTCCCCCAGTTATAAGCTAATAGTGAAAGAGTCTGGACTGGAATCCAGGTGTGTCCAAAGCCAAAGCATGGTCTCCTAACACTTTCCACAACTGCTGTCAATGCACCTCACTGGGCCAGGAAAGTTTTTTGTAGTTAAAGTTACAGATATTTTTGTCACCACTTAAATGTAATTAATTAATTAATAATTTCTGGCTATGAAAAGTCAGGACCCCTCCATTTGAATGCGCAGCACACTACAATCACTAACTCCTTAAAATTATAATTCTATTAAAGAATGGAGATAGAACTGCACAGAATCAAAGAGGTCCTAAAGCAATTCTGTTTGTGTATGTGTGTGCGTGTGCGTGTGTGTTGGGGAAGGGGGAGAGAAGAGTGAGAAAACAAAAGATGGTTCAGAAGCAAGACTTCCCCATAGTGCTGATGATTCCACTACTCTTCTCTTGAAAAGCCTGGCTTCATAGGAAAGAGTTTAAAAAAGACATTACAGACAATTCTCTGGTGGTGTGGTCAGTGGCCAAATTAATAAAGGGCAGCACCTGAAATTTTTATAAAACTTAACAGTTTAACATACATTCAATCTGTTGTTAAAAAGAACTAAGATCCTTCTTGTAAGTTTAGTAAGCCTATCTAGAAACAGCCTATCAATAACACTTTCTTAAAATTAAATATACTTCCAGACAATGGAATATTATTCAGTGCTAAAAAGAAATGGGCTATCAAGCCAGGGAAAGACATGGAGGAACCTTAAACGCACAAAGCAGATCTAAAAAAGGCTACATACTATATGATTCCAACTATATGACATTCTGGGAAAGGCAAAACTATGGAAACGGCAAAAAGATCACTGGTTGCCAGGGGCTAAGGGGGAGGTGGGATGAATAGGTGGACCTCAAAGAATGTTTAGGGCAGTGAAACTATTCTCTAGTAATAATGGTGGATATATGGCATTATACATTTGTCAAAACCTGTAGAAGGTACACCACCAAGAATGAGCTCTAACGTAAACTACGGACTTTGGGTGATAATGATGGGTCAACGTAGGTTCATCAATTGTAACTAATGTACCACTCTGGTAGGGATGGTGTTAGTGGAGGAGGCTGTAAGTGTGCGTGTGGGCAGGGGATATGTGGGAACTCTACTTTCTGCTCAATTTTGCTGTAAACCTAAAAGCACTCTAAAAAATAAAGTCTATTTAAAAAATTAAATATACTAACTGAAAATACTTATAACTATGTACTCAGATTTATTTGCCCTGGGATTGAGTGTATCTGACTGCAGATAATTTTTTTTTTTTTTTTGCAGTACGTGGGCCTCTCACTGTTGTGGCCTCTCCCGTTGCTGAGCACAGGCTCTGGACGTGCAGGCTCAGAGGCCATGGCTCATGGGCCCAGCCGCTCCGTGGCATGTGGGATCTTCCCAGACCGGGGCACGAACCCGTGTCCCCTGCATCGGCAGGCGGACTCTCAACCACTGTGCCACCAGCGAAGCCCTAAAATTTTTAATGATACATAAGTGCACAACTACCTTTGAGCAATGAGAATTCAGTTTTGCCCAGAGAAGCTAAGTAACATCCACCTATGTTGTGTTTCTGATGCAAGCACAGAAAACACAGGGCTCTTTTCTAGCCTATAAATCATCTTAAACCTTGAGATCACCCTGATCTCCACTAGGCTATCTTTATTAATGCCCTCCTAACTCCCCTGAACAGAAATCTCCCAGCTTAAGGAAAAGAATCTTACCCAGTACAGGAGGAAGTTTCATATGTGTTCATCACATTAAGTACTCGAGGGCAGATATTACATTTATGGGTAAAGTAACCACATAATTTATCATCAAAACGAGAACACTTTTAAGAAGGAAAGGGATGTTATGAATAATTTTGTTGCAATAGGCACAAACAGAATTATGATCACCCTACTTCGGGAAACCTGGAGGTTGTGTTGTGTAAGATCAAGCAATTAGAGGGGAGTTATCCCAGAGTAAAACTCTAGGTCAATTAACTTCCAGTTCTAAACACAGTATATTTGTGATTTACAAACTTTTCCCAAGAACGTTGAGCAATAATTAGAAAAGAACCCCTTTGATTGTTAAATAGCTATGCCTCAAATTTAAATGTATCTAGTCCTACAAAAGCACCTCCAAAT